GGAAAGCAGCGTCAGTGGAAGGCCTGGGGAGGGGAAAAGAAGCCGGATGCCTAAGCAATTCTGACTTACAATTGACAGGATTTTGCAGCTGATTAGAGATGGGAGAGAAGAGGGAGGCTGCTCCGGGGTTTGTAATGAGAGAGACTTGGCAAGTCAGTGCTCTGAATAGAGAAGCTGGTAATGTGGAGGGAAGGTAATGAGTTCAGTGTTAGACATGTTAGGTTTCCCCGAACCTTAGCATCTGCCAGTTGCTGAGAAGCATGACAGTTAAGCTAAGTCAGACCCTTTGGGTTCACAGTGATAATTCTTAGCAAAATCATAAATATGGAAACTTCCTATTGTCTTACAAATGCATGGGGTTTTTTTGGTGTTTTTGTTTTGTTTTTTACATTTAGGTATAATTTGAAGAGAAACTGAGAAGCAAACTGTGATGGTGATTTGCTTGTTTCAAAAGGTGCCCTCCTTCCAAAATTACTGTTTCCCTGAAAATAAGACATCCTCCGAAAATAAAACCTACTTACAGGTTTCCTTCTGAGTGAAATATAAGGCATCCCCTCGAAAATAAGGCCCCCCCTAGGCTAAACATGAGAGATTTGGTCCACTGATTCTGAAAGAAATGGAGTCACAAGAAATTCACCAGGAAATTCAGGAATTGGATTGTTATGATGATGTTCCAGAAGATGATGACATGATTGTCATTGAATAAATGAGTAAATTCTTGATACTGTAGGATTCACAGTTTGTCTGGTTTGTGTTGACAACTACCGTACTACCGTACCGTATACAGGTAATAAATTTCCTTTATTTTCATTTAACAATAAATGTGTACCGTATTCTTCTTCATGGAAAAATAAGACATCCCCTGAAAATAAGACCTAGTACATCATTGGGAGCAAAAATTAATATAAGACACTGTCTTATTTTCGGGGAAACAGGGTAGAAAAAAAGACTCTCTTTATACTAAGGAAGGAATGCAAAAATAATCAAGCCAACCCCAAATGAGGTCTATGTGAAATGAAAAACTCATACTTTTTTACCAGTAGACACCTAAATATTTGAGTTCTATTTTAAGGACAGTGGTGGCATTGGGTATGTGGGTTTAGAATATGTTTAGTTCTAAATAGATTCTTCTCATCTTAACTTTATGGCTTAGTGCTTCAACTATCTGCTCATCTATAAACTGTTTGCTTTTATCTACTAAAGCTAAACTTAGATCAAGGGACACTCACACAGTGGCTACTCATTACTGAATTTAGCCATAAATTATATGTCTAGTGTTTAGGTGTGAATATTTAAAATATAAGCCCAAAATAGAATTTTAAGCATTTTTCTGATAAATAAAACAGCCCTGGTTTGTTTAAAATCATGTTAAAAAAATAGTTGAAAAAGTAATTCTGTTTCTTCCTCCATGAGCATTGACAATTACTTTTTAAAAGATAGACCCAATTTTTTTATTGCTTTTCTATAAATTTATAGTAGATCAATGGTTGCTGTGATGGTCCGTTTTAGAATTTCAGAGCAAAGCCCTGCCAGCCACAGTAGACAGCAACTCTTCTTTGAGAATCAGGCTTTGGCTTGTCACTGAGTTTTAGTGAAGACTAAATGCTTAACCACAGACCACTTTGCACCCTGAATACCCAACATGAACTGGGTGTGGTCTAACCACCAATCCATAAAGCTGGGTGTACACAGCAGCACTCCACTGTCAAATGAAAGTGGCATTTATGGTAGTGGGCCCTCAAGATACAAGTTAAGTTACAGGAGGACATAACCCAAATGACCACAGTTCCTATTCCTGCCATATTACCTTCTCTTTCCCAGCCTGCACCTATGGCCTCATGGGCAATTCCCTGTGATCAGTTGAGAAAAAAAGATAACTTGGGTCTGTATAGCCCTAGCCAGTTTGGCTCAGTGGATAGGGTGTCGGCCTGCAAACTGAAAGGTCCCAGGTTTGATTCCGGTCAGGGCACATACTGGATTGTGGGCTCGATCCCCAGTGGGGGACTTGCAGGAGGCAGCTAATCAATGATCTCTCTCATCGTGGATGTTTCTATTTCTCGCTCTCTCTTCCTTCCTCTCTGAAATCAATTTTTTTTTAATTTTTTTTTTTTTTAAAGATTCAGTACAAAATGCAGGACCACCCCAATGAGGACAGCCACAGCTCTACAACTCCTTTCTGGGACATCCCTGAAGGACAGTGGTGAAGGAAAATACTCCCAGTGAGCAGAACCACAAGCAGTAAACCTGGTTATTCATTTTCTTGGAAGGAAGAATGGCCAGAGGTATGAGTCTATCCAATTCGTAGGTTGTGGCCAAGTTTGGCTGGATGGACTTGGAAGAAGCGTAATTGGAAAATTGATGAGGAGGAGACTGGGGAAGAAGTATATGGATAAACCTCTTTAAATAGGAAAAGAATGTGATAGTGTCTCCCATGAGAATGTTTACCAAAAGGTGACCTTAGTGGAGGACTTAAATAATCAAGTGGGTAAGCTAGCCCATTCCGCAGATACCAGTCACCTTTCCCTGGCCATCACTGTCATCACCCAATAGGCTCACAAATGAATGGCCAAGGTGAGGGGGAATGAAGGTTATGCAGCGGCTCAGCAACATGGACTTGTACTAGGGCTGACCTGGGCACAGCCACTGCTAAGCACCCAATCTGTTGCATCACGACCAACACTGAGTTCACTATAGAAGACCATACCATGGGGTCATCCGCCAGGTGGATGTTGATTACATTGGACCACATTCACCATAGAAAAGGCAGCATTTTGTTCTTATTAGAATAGACACTTATTCTGGATATGGATTTACCTTCCCTGCATGCAGTGCTTCTGCCAGATTATCATCCATGAACGTAAATACCTCACCCACCATTTCGGTGACCCACACAATACTCTGATCAAGGATGGTATGTGGCAGTAGGCCGGTGCCCATGTTCCCCACCGGCCTGAGGAACCTAGCTTGATAGAACAGTGGCCTTTTGAGATCCAGCAAGATGGCAATACCCTGAAGGGATAAAGCACAGACCTCCAAGAGACTACATGTGCTCTAAATATGGTGGTTTCTCCCTTAGCCGGGATTCAAAGAACCTAGGTCCAGAAATCAAGGAATAAAGATGGTAGTCGCACCAGTACTCCCTCTCTCTCCTCCCCCATATGTGCTCCACTAGCAAACATTTTACTTCCTATGCCTGAGACCTTATATTCTGCTGGTCTAGAGATCTCAGTCCCAAAGGGAGGAATGCTTCTACCAGGAGACACCGCCATAATCCCATTAAACTGAAGGAGAGACTGCCCCCATCCACTTGGAGCTCAAGCCTCTGAATCAACAAAAGTTAGGGGAGTTAGTGTACCATCTGGGGTGATTGATTACCAAGGGGTAACTGGGCTGCTACTACACAATGGAGGTTAAGGAAGAGGATATCTGGAATATATATGTTAGGGAGTCTCCTAGTACCATGTCCTATGGGATTTCAATAAAAAACTACAACGAGTTGCTCTTTCAGCCATTTTTTATTTACAGTTTGTGCTCAATGCAAATCAATTTCATAAAATGAGAAGTCACTATGAATCAAAGCATAAATACACAAACACAATATACAATCCAAAATAGATGTACAGCATTCAGGTATGAAACAAAAGGGAATGTTCATTCACACACACACAGTAGCTTAAGATCCGCTGGTTACGGTGTTCCTGGTTACGTTTCTAAAGATGGAAAATAATGGCTTTGGTTATCAAGTCTACTCTTGCCATATTAAATACTGGAACATCTAAGCATTAGTGTGTGACCATGCGAACAAAAGACTTTAGGGCATGTCTATTTTTAAAGAAGGTTCTGAGCATTGAGGCAATTGTGAAAAGATTTACTTTCCAAAATTAAGTTTGCACATTAGAGGCTTTGGATCAGGTTCTAACTATCTAAAAATATTGACCAACAACAGAAAGTGTTCCCAATGTGGCTATTCTGATTCATAGTTTAAAAAAAAAAAAAAAAAAAAAAAAAAGTATGTACAGGAAGAGTATAAAAGTTTTTTTGAATTTAATGTAAGCTTCCAGTCTTTACTTCCCAAACACCTCATTTACAGTTTTGGCTCCTTCATATATTTGCCTTTTCAATTTCAAGGTTTGTCAATTTTACCTTCAAAACCAATCATTTTTTAAATTGTAAAAATGTATTCAACCTATGCAGAAATAAAAAGCACTTTGAAATTATTATAGTTGAGGTCAGTGTACTTCTACTCTTCAGAATTAGATTAGCTACATTAATTTGGCGCTCTTATTGAATATCAGCAAAATTTACCTAATATGCTTGGATTTGGAGAAGTTCCAACCCATCATTATCCTGGCACATATAAATTACCACACAAAAAAGTCAAATGCTATGTATGTCAAATCTAGAGGCTCAGAGGAAAGAGTCCAGCTCTCAAGAGAACAGTGATAGCTTAACAGTGTAAAATTTTATTTTGAGTCATATGGACATTAAATTAGTACTGTGAAACAATACATTGGGGATTTACAGGAACACCTGGACGTTCCTTCTAGAATACACACAAATAGAACCTTTTTTGCATTACCTAACAGTTTTATGGCCATATAACTTTAATGAACCAAATGAAAATGGACTCTGTTCCAGATGTCAATCCTTTATCTCTAGATAAAATCTACTGGTTTTCAAGGTAGAATTGTATTCGTCCATACTTCTCAAGCCACATTTAGGGAAATCGCCTCTGAACTAATTTTGGGATGTGTCTCTTCATCTTGCGCGTGAAAGTCCAGCAGGTTTAATGTTGGCAATCATCATCTAGTCAAACCCTGCACAGGCTCTTCGGGCCAATCAAATTTGAGATCCTCAACATTTTCCGTGTCAATAAAATCAGGTGTGAATTAGCAGATTCAATGTAGACCTGTTTCTTCCTTGTCACACTGGATATCTAGATGCCATTTGGATTGGGTTTAGAAGAGGGAGGAGTACAGATGTTTCTTGGCCCAAGTCTTTTAACAGTAGAGATGTAGAAGAGCCAGCGAGATCACGAAGACGCTGGCTGTTGACTGCAGAGCACCGCCACTCGCCCTGGTCGTGGCATTTGCCGGACTCTGGGTAGTCGAAGTATTGTGTGAGGGATTACTTACAGTTGGTGAAGGAGTTGTTGAATTTGAATAAATCTAAAAAAATATAAAAAGTTACACTGATAAACTTCCACTGGTACGAGGTGCCTCCACATACACTTAATATGCAATTAAGACAGATGTCTTAGGTTGCTCTTTGCCCGTTATTCCCTTACCCACATCACTTAATTCTGAATTCTGCCTCAGCACCACCAACATCATTCTCTCTAGTTTCAAAACAAACTACCTAGAGATGCTAAATGACGGCAACAACTAAACATCAAACAAATATGTTCTCCAAAAACTGTAACTCCCAGGAGCCTTTTTTTTTTTAATTCTTTGTCAATTAATACAGAAGTTTCTGTGACTTTAATGATTTACTGGCATTGCAAAAGAGGTTTCCTTTCTTTTTCCAGAAAGGGGGAAACTTTAAAGTGCACAAATAATTTGGATTTATATTATAGTGTGGAGAATTATGGTGCTATAATGGAGTCACTGTCTACTGGATTGGCTAGATAACATTCCTATTTAATACCCTCTTGGTTTTAACTTCAGTGGATATAGAGTATCTGCTCCCTTGAAATCTTTTTTTTTTTTTTTTTTTTTTTCAATTGGAGAGAGGAAGGGAAACATTAGTTGCCTCCTATGTGCCCCAACTGGGGATCGAACCGGTAACCTTCTGGTGTACCAACCAACCGAGCAACACCAGCCAGGGCAGAAATCTTAAAATTACATATTAAAATGGCCATGATATTGGTTTTAAATGTAAAAATATAATGAGCCCTTTCCTTAAGGCAAAATGTTTTCACCTGAAAAAACACCAAGAGGTTTTGGTGTGAAGTTTTCAGCAGCGGCCTCCTGCCGGGTCACTAAGCCCAGTGCTGTGGCCAAGAACGAAGGTTCCCCCGCTCCCGGCGCCTAAGTAGCATCATTCACCACACTGATTTTCCAAGTCGCAAAATGCACAGTCCAGTGGGGCACGTGATAATCTCTCCTTTGTCCCGGAACAAAGGCAGATGGGAGATTTCAGCTCTCCCTGCAAGGGAGGGTTTATAAGGGCTTCTAATTACAGGCGGGATGGAGGATGTGGCACCCAGCAGGTCTGGTCCACATGTACGGGGCAGCCTGTGAACCCAAAAATAAAACCGATCTACATCAGCACCAGCTCCTTTTGTTGTAAAACCCATAAGGTCATGAAGCAAATATGGACCCAAGTGCTGTGCTAATCCTCTACAAAATAAACTAATTTTAAAGAAAAATCCTGATCAAGTCAAATATATTTATTGGGCACCTACTGTGTGCAAGAGTCAGCTTGCCCTACCAGGAAATAGCACCCCCACTAAGAGAAAAGCATTTACTTATATGGAAAATTACTTAAAACAGGGCGCTCTGTTTGGGGGCAAGACCTGGCTTGGGATCCCTGAAAGTAGTAATCTACTTTCATTCATACAGAGTTATTTTGGTGCAGCAGGTGACTTTTTAAATAGAGCCCAGTATATTAATATATTAATAGGAGAATCTAAGTAAGGATCCTCTGCAGCCCCAAAAAAAAAAAAAAAATCCACAGAACAAATTGTAATGCTAACATTAAACAAAAAATTTCCTACCAAACTCGATCGATGTTCTCATCTAGAACCTCCTTTGTAAAATTGGGAGAAGGGGGTCTCTTTGGGAAGGCCAAGGGGTTGGAAGAGACCGGTGGTTTCTGGCAGCCGCGCCCCTCCCCCACCGAGGAATCGCGAAAGCCTGGGGAGCGCAGCCGGCCCGTCAGACAACAATAGGGTACAGTTACCCGCCTGGCAGGGCAGGGCGGGGGCGCTCCCCTCGCAGGCTGCGCTGCCCCGTGAGCCGCGAAGCTGGCCCGTCTGGGCACCGAGCACCCGGAGCACCCAAGTTTTCGGATCAGCTCGGGAGCCGCTCCTCACAAAGCCCCAACGGAAGGCAATGGAGAGCCAGCCCTACCCTCCAAGCCCGACCTGCCGGAGAGAATGCGCCTCCGCGCCCCCCTCCCCCGGACCCACACCTCCCCCTGGGTGTCCCGGGCTCAGCCCCCCGCTGGCCTCCAGGGACCCCCTCCTCCTCCTCCTTCCCAGGGCGGCGTGATTCCTAGTAACGGCGTGTGGATGGAGGTCCGATCCCGGGTGGAGGGTTTGGGGGGAACAAAGCCCGGTGGGGACCTGGGACAAGAGGGGCTTGGAGGTGAGCAGAGATGGCCATGGAAGGTGGCACCTGGGGGAGGGCAGGGTCAGGAGAGGGTCCCCGCCCAGGCTCCAGCCCCGACCCACGCGGGACCGGGGCAGGTGAACGGAGCCAGACAGCCGGGGCTTCCTCGGGATCCCCAAACCAGCTGAATGCAAAACGGCCGAGCGCGGCGCCTCCGAAAGGGACCGTCCCGACTCCCCTATCCCCCTCTCTTTGTGTGGCGCGCTGGGGCGCGAACCCTTCTAGAAGGAAGCAGGGGATCCAGGGACCACCTCCCGACGGAGGCTGCGGTCTCCGGAGCTCAGGGGGGGGAGGGGAGTGCATCCTCCCCCCCCCACCCCCCACCCTCCGCTAGCGCCTCGGACCCCTGGATGGGAGCGGGTGGTGGGCACAGGCTGCCCGGAGCGAGGAACGGCGTGGAACCTGGGTGGGGCACGTCCTCCCGGCCCACGCCCGGACCCGCATTGTTCTCGGGGGCGCGACAGCCCGCCAGGAGCTGGGGAGAGGGCTCCACACTGCCCGCCCCGGGTCAGTTATGTTAGATTCCCGCTCCGAGTCGCAGTCGGCGGCCCCAGGTGGGGCTCTAGGCCAGCCCCTGGGAGCCTCCCCTCCACCCCCACCCCCACCCCCACCACCCCGGGCGCAGCCCCGCGCCCCGGGAACGCACCTGCGTGGGCAGGAGCAGCGCCAGAAGCAGCAGCCCCAGTCCGAGCCTGGCTACCATGGCTCTGCCCATGTCCGCTCCGTCGGTGCGCGGCGAGTCTCACTGGATGTCGAGTGGGTGGAGAGCGGCAGGGTCCGGGCGGGCGCAGGCAAAGTGGGGAGCACGGCCCGCGAGCGGGACTTTATATACCGGGATGGCTACAATAGCCGTGACGTGGCGCCGCCCGCCCACCCACCCGCGCTCCCCTCCTCCCCACCCACTCCCGCTCCCCACTTCCCTCCTCCTCTTGCCTCCTCCGCCCCCACCGCCTCCCCGCGCGCGCCCGGGCGCCGCCCCGCCCCGCCCCGCCGGGCTCCCCGCGCCCCAGCCCCCGGCAGCCGCCCGGGCCGCCCCCCGCCCGGACACCCGCGGGTGGCCCGGCCCGGCAGGTGGGCGCCCGGGCGCCGCCGGCTCCGGGGAGGGCGCTTTGTGCCTCCCGGAGCGCGCGGCGTGCGGGCTGGCACGGGCGCCTGGCGACTCCCACCCGGGACCCGGCGCGAACTCGCCGACCGCGCACGCCGCTCCCCGGGCCCGACCCAAGTTCCCTTTGTTTCCCCGGCCAGCCATCTTCCCCCGAAAGAGAAGTCTGCGCCTCCCGCGCGGCCCGCAGCCGCCGGTTCTCGCTCGGACTGTGGCGCGCGCGGAAGGGGAATCCTCCCCTTTGGCTTGGGTGTGCTCAGGTCCTCGCCACAGAGGAAGGGGGGCTGTGCGGGCTTTGAGGGTACCCCGAGCCTGGCGTGCCCTCCCGCGGCTGGTCCGCGGGGCTCGCCGGCAGCGCCCGGGCGCAGAGGAGTTGGTGAGCTCGCTGGCTTTGTCTCTGAGCGCTTCACTTTCCCAGCCCCGCGGGCGCGATGGGACCTCCTGGGCCCGCATCTTCCTGGGAGCGGGGGGACCAGGCCGCTGGGCTCCGGTCCCGGCGGTCCTCCCAGCCCGGTCCCCACGCGGCTTTGCTCCCCCGGGTGCCACCCAGAGAGCAGGCGCCTCTCCGGTGGGCCCCCTGGGATCCGCTGCTCCTCTGGAACTCCCGGGACGCACTCCTTTGGTTTCCGTTGCAATGCACTTGTTCGTCTTTCCTTTAAAGAGCAAAAGCTTTCCGAAGAAGAAGGCATTTACTTGGCCACAGCTGCCATTAGGCAATCTAATGGACTGCAACAGATACTTCACGTTGTGAAAATTCTCGAGCACACATCAAAAGTAGAAGTAATTGTACTGGTAGAATATTTTTGGTGTGATTTTTTTCACTGCCCGGACATAATCCTTATAGTTTAGGTTTGCCCTAGTATTTTTGCAATCTTGAAAGCAAACAACCGAGACCAAACCTAATAAAATTGTAAATTTGTTTAAATTTCACTTTTGCAGAACAGCCGTGTGTGTGTGTGTGTGTGTGTGTGTGTGTGTGTGTGAGAGAGAGAGAGAGAGAGAGAGAGAGAGAGAGAGAGAGAGAGAGAGAGAGAGAGAGAGAGAAATCCCCGGTAGTTGATCTGTGAGTGAATCGCTCTGTGCCCTAATGGTCAGCCACTTTAACTCAGTAACTTTCCACGTTAGTATGTGCTTGGGGAAGCGGGAATGTCTGTCGGGCGTGTGAACACACTGTATAGAAATAACCTGTTTGTGTTCAGCTTCTCTACTCCTCTTCCAGGGCATGAAGGGACTGTGGCTCAGGAGTGCCTAGTTCCAAGGCAGAGCCCATAGTAGGTTCTTCGGAAGCTGCTTATAAGATGGATCCGTTCATGTTGTCCTACATCTTTTTGTTCTATTCCTCCTCCACCACCCCCTCTCCTCTGTCTGCCTCCTCCTCCTTCCTCCTTATTAGTTTAAGGAGATGGACTAATGCAATGGTAAAGGATACAGACCTTAGAGACAGGCTGCCGGGATCCAAATCCTGGTTGTGTACTTTTATTTTACTTGAGGCAAAAGGCCTCAGTCTTTTCATCTGTAAAATGGGGATAATAGAACCATTAGGATTATTGTACAGAAAGTGTTAGGACAGTGCCTGCTTCATAGTAGGAGCTCTCAGGTGGTATTTGCCCCAGCTACTTAAGGTCCCAGGAACCAGCTGTATGATTCATGAAAGAAATCTCAAGCACAAAAGAGTTCCCAAAATTGGTAAGATCCTTGGGATCTATGCGCTGTGAGCCACCTCTTCACCACCAGCAAATGAGACTGCATAATTTACAAAGCAAGTTCTTCCCTTCTGCCTAGCAGTCCACCGCGCCGCCTCTCCCCTCCCCACACACACACACACTCCCCACCCAACCCCTACCCCCTTATCCAAAAAGACTGTTGTCCAGGGTTTGGTAATTCTGTACCCTGAAGGCTTAGCCCTGGTAGTGAAATCCACCCCATTCTATTTCCTATATGTCAAGAAACTCAGGAAAGCTGCCTAAAACTTTCCCTTGAAGTTCTTATATATATAATTCCTTCTTTCTGTTTATTCTCCTCTTCTGTTAGTTTTCCAGTTGTTTGCTTTGCCTTTTGCCAACAATAGCTCATGCTACTACAATAGTAAATAGCAAAATGGATATGAAATAGAATATTAATCCAATAATAGATATTCCTTTTGTGCTTTACAGCAGGAGTGGTAGTTGGGATAATCAAATATTTTATTTAAATTCTATTCTACAATATGGCGCTATTCTTATTTATATTCATAATACTCTTTCCCCTTATTCTATGCCATCCTAGATTTGGCTGGCATTTAATATGATATTTTAACTTACTCTGCTTTTTAAGCTAAGTTTTGGTCTGCATTCAAAAATTCCAGCCAACTCCAATCTTGAGATGGCAGTGAAAGGTGATGTGAATTAGCGTTTCTGACTGAATTCTAGGTTCAAGTCCCAGGGCTGGAGCAGGAGTTGCAATCTGACTCTCTGTGGGGATGTGCTGCCCCCTGCTGGCTATAGGAACCCATCCACTCTCACTGTTAAAAAGTCCTTTGGGCTGACTGTATTTGAAGCCTTATAAAGCTAATAAACCACAATAAGCTTCTTTGAGAATAGTTCCTTTATTTCCTCTAAGAGTCTCCCAGATAAATTCTCTCGGATTTTAAGCTTTATCCAAGTAAGAAAACAAATGTAAAGTGCAGGAACTGGGACTATTTTCAAATGCAACTACTGTCATGTGTGAGAAAGCAGGCCCTCCACTCCAGGCTGATGGGATTATGGAAAGAATTTGACTTCTATCCATGTTAACATACATTAGACCTAACGTTTCTAATTTTAGGAATTTAGCCTACAGACCTACTACAGAAATCAAAAGATTGTATATGTAAGGGTTTGTCACAGCAGTTTTACTAACAGGCAAGGGTTGGAAACCATCAAATTAGTCCAAGGTAGAGGCCCAGTTAAAGAAATTTCATGAAATATTTTAAATCATTAAAAAGAGCAAAATACTATGCCCTTCCCACTAGGTGGCTCAATTAGAGCATCTTTTTGCACACCAAAAGGTTAGGGGTTTGATTCCCAGTCAGAGCATGTATGTACCTTGGTTTCTGTTTGATTCCAGGTTGGGGTGGGAAGGGGAAGCAACGGATTCTCACATTGATGTTTCTCTTTCTACCTTACTCTGTCTAAAGTCAAATATATCCTCACCCAAACCGGTTTGGTTCAATGGATAGAGCGTCGGCCTGCGGACTCCAGGGTTCGATTCCAGTCAAGGGCATGTACCTGAGTTGCGGGCACGTCCCCAGTAGGGGGTGTGCAAGAGGCAGCTGATCGATGTTACTCTCTCATCGATGTTTCTGGCTTTCTATCCCTCTCCCTTCCTCTCTGTAAAAAATCAATAAAATATATTTTTTTAAAAACACAAATGAAAGTGATTTTATATATATATATATCCTCAAGTGAGGCTAAGAAAGAAAGAAAGAAGAGCATAATATTATATATATATATATATATATATATATATATATATATATATATATATATATATATATATATATTACAAAGGAAAAATCTCCAAGATAAATTCTTAAGTGACAGGAAGTAAGGCGGGAACAGTCTATACAGTATTCCCTGTAGTTAAAAACAAACAACCTAGGCAATAATATTTCCAAAGGGATCCATAAGAAATGTATAGCATGCCCTAGCTGGTTTGGCTCAGTGGATAGAGCGTCGGCCTGTGGACTGAAAAGTCCCAGGTTCGATTCCAGCCAAAGGCACATGCCTGGGTTGTGGCCTCAGTCCCCAGTAGGGGGGCGTGCAGGAGGCAGCTGATCAATGATTCTCTCTCCTCATTGATGTTTCTATCTCTCTCAACCTTCCTCTCTAAAATCTATAAAATATATATGTATTAAAAAAAAGAAAAGGAATGGATAGCAGTGCCTGCCATTGAGGAGAGGAATTGGCTGGCCTAGTAAGACCCACTTTTCATTGCATACTGGTTTGTACTTTTTGAATTTTGTACCATTATTTATTCACAAATAGCTAGATAAAATCATTTAGATTCATAAATCAGGGCATTCTGTGGCCTTCCTTCCCTGACTCCCACAAAGCAGGTGTGTGGAAAGACAACTCTCCAGCCCCGAGGGCCTCAAAATCGCCCTCCCCTCCTCAAGAGCCTCCCCACCACCACCACCTTCCTTTATTCACAGGTTCTTGAACAGAATTTATAGTTTTGCCTCAATGCATCCATCCTATGACAACTGCGAAAACAATTCTCTTGAGCCCAGATGGCACATACACAAAAAAAGCTTACAGAAAAAATGAAAAACTGAGCTTTAGAAGAAATAATGAGATATCACTTGGCAAAGCATCAGTTTCCTCAGTTCGTTTCCCTGCGGCACCTCGAGATAGGAAGGCTGAGGGGGAAGAAGAGCTCGGGGTTGGGCAGTTTGCCTCACAGAAAAGCCAGAGGTGGGTGGGCTTACTCCCTTTAAGGGGTCTTTTTAAGGTCCTCCTCCACTCCTGGGCAGAAGGTGGATTCGGGACCTAACGGGAGTCATTAAATTCCAGTGTAAATGAAATCCCGCTTCCACCTCACAGAAGAAACGTCCAAAGCTGTAGAGAATTTTTGCGAGTTTATTTGCGCCAAACTGATAACTATTGGTGGGAAGCAAAATCGAAAAGGCATTGAGAAAATGCTCCGGAGAATGGCAGTTTTACAGCTTATTTTATATTCTACAACCAAAGGAGGAGAGTAAGAGGAGGGGAATAGGGTTACATAAAATCCATTGGTGATAGATTAGGGAGGAGGGAGAAAGCAAAGAGGAGGGAATCTTCGGGATTGGATAAAAAATTAAAATGGAGAGGCAGGTACTCTTACATTCATGGGTATAGCGTAGTTAACATTGCCCTAGCTGGTTTGGCTCAGTGGATAGAACGTGGACTGAAGAGTCCCAGGTTCGATTCCGGTCAAGGGCATGTACCTTGGTTGCGGGCACATCCCCAGTAGGGAGTGTGCAAGAGACAGCTGATTGATGATTCTCTCTCAACGATGTTTCTAACTCTCTATCCCTCTCTCTTCCTCTCTGTGAAAAATCAATAAAATATATTTTTAAAAAGAAAGAAAGAAAGAAAGAAAGAAAGAAAGAAAGAAAGAAAGGAAGGAAGGAAGGAAGGAAGGAAGGA